GCGCAGCTAGCTAGCGAGAGAAACAGAGAGACGGGAGAAGAGGGAGGAGGGAGAGGGAAGAAGAGATTTAGAGGAGACTGAGAGGAGAGGAGAAAGACAGGGGAGACGAAGAAGAGAGGGAGAGAAAGAGAGATAGGGAGAGAAAGAGAGAGAAGCGTGAAGTTTACGTTGTACACAGCGACTGAATGCGCAGGCACGAACACAACCAATTAAGATTCTAAAAAGATCACAATGAACAGATGGAACTCTGATGGCTGCTTCTAATATACTACTCCAACAGTACACGCTACTGGGGCTGAAGGGGTCGTTGTCGTACCCGAGGTAGGTACCTCTAGGGAGTCGCCTAGGCCTACACCTACTCCCTAACCCTAACCCTAAGTAACCATATCAGATAGTTACCTCGGGTACATATATATGTAGTACCCTATACGACAACGACCCTTCGTGCGCTACTGCCGCGTACTGTTGTTTCTGCTATATGCCTATATCCGTGACTATTTCCATAGCAACTACTTAAGCAGCCTACTCCCAATGCCTGGATTGAAATGTGGGTCAATGGCATAGCTATACCACTCGACCAGTTACTACAGTTGTTCGTATTGATTAATTAAACATTATATAATCATCATCATTCAACTAACAATGTATTTATAAGGTTTACAAATATTTGCCCCCTATAGCCATGCACCTGATCAGTTTGCATGGCCTGAATATATAACGCACCTAAATTATTATTTTCATATTATACTCGTCACACGATGATATAATGCATGTACATTTGTTTTATATGCCGTTTCAGAATATGGCAAAGATGTACAATACTCTTGTAAGTATCAGTCGGATACACTCATATAACGTACTTCAGTACCGTGAACTTTCACATAAGCAGGAGTAGCTAACATTCTTGACGATAATATTGTATAACCAAACGGCCAACGTCAGTTTAACTGTGGTTTGGCCATACCAAGTAGCGAAGTTACCATACTCTTAGAGCATAGACACGGTGATATGACATATAGGGGTAACACGCGTTCACGAGTTCAACGGCCTGGCCTCTACGCATGTCCAACTCAATGTGCTAAGCAAGCGTACGTGTTGGTGTGCTCGCTCCTACAGCTACTGTCACCCACGTACCAGCAGCAGCAGCTCGATCACGCTGGAAATTTTCCATCACACACAGCTTAGAATCAATGGAGGCAAACATAATGCAATCCCCCGCACACAATCGGGCAGCGCACGCCCCGCGCACACACACAGAGAAGAGAAGCAGACGAGTTGTTGGTAATAGGTATAGGCGGTATATGGAACCATTACTAGGCACACTGCAAAAGAGTGAGCATGCATGTACCTCAAGATATTATGCAAAGTATAGGGCTAACGGCCAGCTCTATGCATGTATACCCCCCGTTTTGGAGCCAGCAAGTAAAACATAAAAATGAGAAATTTTTCATTGGAAACTTCGTCTTTTTGCACTGTTGCTTTGTCAGCTAGAAACAACTGGTGTCGATCAGCTTGTCTGGTCTGACGTCGGTGACCTACGCAGCCTAATCTTATCACTTTAGCAATGAATCATTCTAAAGGCGGAAATTCACGAGGCTGTGTCATATAGAACAGACAGGATGTACAGACCGCGTTTCCCAGATACGTTCCAGTGGCTGTAAGCCCACAAGGAGGTCATTGATTCCCGATGCCGTATTGATCAAGTCAATGAAAATACGGCTACTTTTTTGTGTTACGTAATGCAAATGGGAACAGTGAAAATAGGACTGCTTTTTGTGTTACGTAATGCAAATGGGAACAGTGAAAATAGGGCTGCTCTTTTCTGTTACGTAATGCAAATGCATGGGAACGTGCTAAAATAACAGAAAATGGGGCAAGCTGCTGGAAGTGATGAGAATGAGATCGCATTATGCTGAGGATGGCAGTTGTAATATGCCACCTCCACCTATACCCACACTGCTGATTTTGTCTCTGCAGTACGATCAGTATAAATAAATCATTGCAGAAAAACAGAAAGGGTGCCGTGAGAGAAAAACCACGTGCTAAAAATACAAACCGATTAAGAATAAACGTGCACTCTTACCAGCAAATGACTACCATCGGCACTTTTCCCTGAATACAGCATGGCCGACGGTGTTAGACGGACGGACGGCTGCAAGAAACCACAGCAACGCAAAAATTCATGCGAGTGCTTACGAAACGTACATGTATGCGCAAATTATATACTATAGCAACTCATTTCATTTGTGGTATTGAATCTAAAGTGCAAAGAGAACTGACCAATTACAATCTGTGGGAGGATTTCTATTATATATATTCCCCATTTTTTAACAAAAAGCACGTTGTCAGATGTTTAAAAAAATCTTCGTCACCCACAATCATGTAGTCTCTAGCAAACACCCCAAGTGATTTCTCGTCAATTGCCTTGACACATTTTACGCACTTTACTCGTCGCACAACTACATACAAGTGCACACACCAAAATTCACGCGAACAAATACGCCGCGAGGCGCATTTATTTGTGCACGCACGCGGGAACTTCGGAAGAATCGGATTGGCCGTGAAATTAAAACCTCGCCTGATATGATATAATAATAATGCCTCACCTTCGACGCCGCTATGTCGACGGCAGCGTGGTTGTAGAATGAAGACACAGGGCGTACTACCGGCTGCTCCTGCAGGCTTATTGTGAACGATCGTGACGACAGGTTGGTGGCAGCGAGCGCCGTCCTGACCGGACACGAAGCTGCCAGCAGCGCGGGCATCGTCCTAGCGGTGACGTTCATCGTTGGAGATCGAACGTATGCAGTCTCCTACACATGCCTGCATAACGGTAAGAACACACTGAATAACCAATGAAACCCAACGAGTCAACGTGCACCTTGGACCAAGACCTAGCTAGCTATATACTACATGATCATCTGACGATATTATTTTGTAAAGAACGTGCATGCCTCCTCATAACCTCAGAAATAGATTAGTCTTCAAAAAAGTCCAAGCGACTATCGAAGACATATCAGAAGAACACGTGCATGTTTATGTGTACGCGTAGTGCGTGTGCATAGCTCTAGTAGTAGTAGTAGTAGTAGTAGTAGTTGTACAGTGCTAGCTAGAGTCCGCGTACAGTTGCCGCAGGCCTATAGCTGCGGCAACTGCACGCGGGCTATAGTTACTAGACTAGAGATACGTGTTGCAATGCGTGGCTCGTCATGGATATCTTCATGAAACATTGATCAATGAGAAAATATCACACACCAACACAGGTGAAAAGAGCGTTCATAGAAAAACAGTGGCGAAAACCAGGAAATGCTTAAACGAGTGAAACCAGTTGCCAGTGCAGGCGACTGCAGGAATACTCACGAGACCGAGGTAGATTTATGTGTCCGCCTCGATGTGACCGGTTATACTTATACTTATAGTGCAACCCACTCGTCCTCGCGTTGCTAAACACATATGAAAGAGCGGTGACACTCCGCATCTCCTGTGCCCGCAAGTACAGTAGGGCCTAGGGTGTCCCGTCAGCTGATTGCTGCAGGAGCAGCAGCGCTTACGTCTTCCTACGGCTGCCGAGAATGGACAAAGACTGCTCGTCTGCCAGCGGTGCGAGAAAGACCACTGCTGCATGCACACTGCACGGATCGTGCACGTGGCCGTCTAGGCATCAGCCGCAGCTGAGCCGCAGCAGCTGACTATGGTTAATCCAATGCCAGAACTAGGTCAACGAGCGAAGGATCGATTTTTTCATCCAGATGGCAGCAGCTGACAGAACCGTTTGTTACGTTATCAGCTCAGTTATTCGCAACATATATAGATAATCTATCATCATCTATATTCTATATAGATCAATATATCATATATACACGTATAATATACATTACTTTTTGATACATGGGCGTGTTTGTGGGAGATAAATGCTTGCACGCTCACTGACATACATAGTTCCATGAAAAAGACTGTCTTCAGTACATGTATTCATATTTGAATCAAGATTTACATGCAACAAAGCTGAGAGGGTCTATGTCCCCCAAGGTACTGCCGGAACGTACCCTGGTACTATCTTGGTACTATCTAATATGCCGGTCCGTACCTCGCCTACTCCACTAACGAGTCTAGGGAGTCGCCTACGCCTACTCCCTAACCCTAACCCTAACCATATCAAATAGTTACCAGGGTACGTTCCGGTATACCGGACCGTACCCAGGGTACGTTCCGGCAGTACCATGGGGGGACATAGACCCTATGAGCTGCAAGCAAGCATAATAATAATTGCGCATCATCGCCGTCCCATCGTACTTGCGAACCATAATGTATGTGCGCGCGTGCTATCTGATCACTTTGCGTCGCTCATGTGTCAGCAACTGACATATATGCGCGCACATTCATTTCTTAACCCCATTAACGCACATGCATGTATTAGAAATTGATGAAAAGCGAAAAACATGTAACGAAAAACGAAAAACGAAAAGCGAAAAACGAAAAGCGCACACTGCCGTTTCTTACTACTATTGATGGTTATATACAGAGGCGCCGAAAGTGGGGGGGGCCGCCCCTCCAATCTAAAAAGTAGGGGGGGGCAAACCAAAAAGCCCCCCAAAAAAAGAAGAGTGGAAAAGAAAAAAGAAAATGTATGAGCTAAAGACTTGTTAATTCTAACGTTAAACAACTATTTATTACATCCATTTTGAGTTTTCGCTGCGCGCTTTGCGTGATTCATGCTCACGTCGCACACACGCGCTCACGCACACACGCGCTCACGCACACACGTCACACACACGCGCTCACGCACACACGTCACACACACGCGCTCACGCACACACGTCACACACACGCGCTCACGCACACACGTCGCACACACGCCTCACGCACACACGTCACACACACGCGCTCACGCACACACGTCACACACACGCCGCCTACGCACACACGTCACACACACACGCTCACGCACACACGTCACACACACGCGCTCACGCACACACGTCGCACACGCGCTCACGCACACACGTCACACACACGCGCTGACGCACACACGCGCTCACGCACACACGTCGCACACACGCGCTCACGCACACACGTCCCACACACGCGCTCACGCGCACACGTCACACACACGCGCTCATGCACACACGCACACTCGCCGCACACACGCGCTCACGCACACACGTCACACACACGCACTCACGCACACACGCGCTCACGCACACACGTCACACACACGCGCTCACGCACACACGTCACACACACACGCGCTCACGCACACACGCCGCACACACGCGCTCACTTTGCCCCCCCAATCCAAAACTGCTTCCGGAGCGCCTGGTCATATATGTATGTATCAGAAAATGATATACAGAGACACACACGCATCACGCAATGATATGTAAAATGTGAATATATGAAAATGGTATACAGGGACAAACACATGTCACGCAATGATCGATATATGAAATGTGAATATATGAAAATGATAGAGACGGGACACACACATCACGCAATGATCAATAGCGATATATAAACGCGCGATTCCTTTTCTTCCTACACCTCTTTCACTACACCACAATAAATTCCTCCACGCGTGTACATTTTTGTGGCGACGAATAGTTTGTAAACTTTTACGAATAATTAACGATGCAAAACGGTGTGCGTGCGCGCACGTGCGTGTGCTGCGGTGTTGTCATATGTATGGGGTGTACGTGATTAGATTCGTAAACCGTGTGTGAACTAACATGTTTATATTATTAAATCTGTCATTACCTTCATTACAGCTTACCTTCATACACACGAGGTTACTAAAACCTAGGAATCATTTAAATATTTTCGCATTAACCATAATGTTGCTTGAAATATGCACAAATAAGGTTTCAATTGCAGATAGTAGTAGCAATCACTTTATTTCAGAAATTCAGACCATCGCTGGTCGTTACCCGTTTTCATGTGCAACATCGCACAACTTTACACTATGCTGTACAGTAACATATATTATTAGATTAAAGTGTTAAACGTGACAATTCCCTGCTCGATGTATGTATATATAGAACACACCCACTAACTTTAAAGCCACCCTTGTGTTTTTCGTTGTAAAAGTATTTCGTTTCAATGTATATAATGGAAACGTAATGTAGATATATAGAAAATGTATTCGAACACAGCTAAACGTTAACGGGAAACGGAGCTGAGAAATCACTAAACTTTAACGATTTAGCTACTAAATTATAGCCGAAGAGTTGATAAACTTGCTCAACTTGTCAAATTTCCATCTGGAAGTTTAACAGAGCGAACCAAGCTCAGACTCGGCATATATGCTGTTACGCAACCACAATAATGGCGACCTTTTCACGCAGCTGAACCACCGCCGATGACCACGATTAACACGTACGTTATCACGGGAACGGGAAGGAAGCTGCCGGCAGCGCTCCGTGAAATCGTCAAGTCCTCTATGAGCACATCGTGCCAAGCGTCCGCCTTCCTCACGCTCAGCTTAGCAACCGCATCCCCGCCCCGCTTAGCAACCGCATCCCCGCCCCGCTTAGCAACCGCATCCCCGCCCAACCGCGACGTCACGCTAGCAGACGCATCGGCGTTGGCGGGGTCGCCCGCTGAGTCGCGGCAGTGCACGACCGTGGAGGTGGCGGTCACTTGTTTCCCGGCGATCGCGACCTCGAAGCTGATGCAGTCACTTGTTAACGCGACGTCCTGGCGCGAGGCGACGACCGTCGCCTCCCCGCCGGCGCCCTCTGTCCGTATCTCGACGAAACCCTTGTCATTGAAGCCGACGACGAGCGTTCTGTTGCCGACGACCATCGTCACGGCAACGTAGCTTCGTTCCACCTCGTCGCCGGGGTTACCGGGGAGGCGGTTGCTGATGAACTGCGCGCGGCCAGTGACGCGCGCTGCGCGGTCGAGTGGTCCCCCATAGCTTAGCAACGCCCAGTCCGGCCCGGCACCAGCTAGCACGACGTTCATATCTGTCATGAAGATCTGGGAGGACTCCGCAGGGATAACCTGCCAGTAGGTGGCGTTCCACGTGTAAGGAAGCCCACCTGCTCCCGGCGAAACGTTCCCTTCCTGGAAGTTGCCATTGTAAATGTAACACGTTAATCGATGATAATTATACCTAGGGGCACAGAGTGTTTGCAAATACGACTAACCAGTAATGGCTAGCCTAGAGATACTACTTAATCCCATAGCTTAACTTTTAATGTAGCTCATCTTAGATAACCTATAACCTCTACAATCCTAGCTAATATATAACAGATAATCTATAGCAGTAACATAAGGAATCGCTAATTGTTACCTCTAACGCATCCAGAAACTGTTGCTTCAGACCGACTGGGAAGTCATAAAAGATGCGTCGTGGGTCGCCATGGCGACGGAGGCTGACGAGTCCGGTAATGTTGATGGGATCTCTGGCACCGTGCCAGACGGTGAGAGTAAAGTCAGGGCGTAGCTGAGTCAACCATAGCCACTTATCGTAGGACGTGTGTGCCTGCGTCAAATACGCGACACGTGTTTATATGCAAACACGCACGCACGTACGCATGCACACCAATGCGCAGCAATCAAGTATTGTCTGATATATAGCAGGCCAACGTTTACTCACTATTATATTATAGTATTACTCACATCGTAGTTTAACTAGTTACCCTGACAATCAGTATTTCTTATGCCGTGGTTACCCCGACAGCGTTACATCTCTGCATCACATTTGCTGATATCATGGTTGCCCTGACAACGCTACATGTCAGCATCAATAATTGGCCATGTCGTGGTTGCCCTGACAACGCTACATCTCAGCATCAATAATTGCCCATGTCGTGGTTGCCCTGACAACATTACATCCCTGCATCCCTATTGGTCATATAGTGGTTGCCATGACAACGCAGCATCAGTATCGTGTATCTCACCCACACGGCTCTGACGGGGAAGGTAATGGGCTGCTGTAGACTGCAGCAAAGCTGCACCATGTCCAGCATCATCTTCCAGGTGTACCGATTCGACTGTGTGACCACGCAACCATCCGGGACCCACCAGGTCGTCCAGCCTAGTGACAGTACAGAGCGCGGAAACCTACGCACGGTTGTCTCGAGGAAACGAACAGGATCGACCGGGGGCTGCAGCGAAAAATTTATTTACAGATCGTGTTCATCGTTATAATCGTCATCGTCGCAATCACCGCCATCGTCCGTTGTCATTGACAACGTCATTATCGTCGTCATTGTCATCGTCGTTGGTGACACCATCGTCATCGTCGTTGGTGACAGCATCGTCATCATCAGTATCAGAAGAAGCAGCAGCACAACCACCTTACCACCAGCAGCAGCAGCAGCAGCAGCAGCAGCAGCAGCACAACCACCACCACCAGCAGCAGCAGCAGCAGCAGCAGCAGCAGCAAAAACAATAGTAGCAGCAAGAACATCGACATGACGATGGTACTGCGGAAATCTGCGCACTTAGGAGTGTTTATAGCCTCGTCTACACGACGAACCTTAACTCGTGTTAAGCTAACTCGAGTTAAGCGTTAACTCGAGTTAGCGATTATGTAGCGTCTACACGACAACACCCGATAGCGATTATTACCGATTTATTATGCATGCGTGCGTGCGTGTGTATGTAAACGTGCGGGTGTGCGTGCGTGCGTGCGTACGTACACACGCGTTCGTGCGTGCGTGCGTGCGTGTGCACGTACACGTGCGTGCGTGAGTGTGCACGTACATGTGCGTGCATGTGCACGTACACGTGCGTGCGTGCGTGCGTGCGTGTGCACGTACACGTGCGTGCATGCGTGAGTGCGTGTGTACTTACACGTGCGTGCATGCGTGCGTGCGTGCATGTGCACGTACACGTGCGTGCATGAGTGTGTGCGTGCGTGTACAAGTACACGTGCGTACGTGCGCGAGTGTGCAGGTCCACGTTTGTGCGTGCGTGCGCGCATGTGCATGTGCACGTAGGCGTGCGTGCGTGCGTGCGTGCGTGCATGCGTGTGCACGTACACGTGCGTGCGTGCGTGTGCACGTACACGTGCGTGCATGAGTGTGTGCGTGCGTGTGCACGTACACGTGCGTGCATGAGTGTGTGCGTGCGTGTGCAAGTACGCGTGCGTGCGTGCGTGTGTACGTACATCGTACTAGTGCTGCCGCCTATCGTGGACGTTAAGCTAACTCGAGTTAAGCGTCTACACAGGCCTTAACTCGAGTAAGGTAATTCGAGTTAGCTTCACCTCGATCGACTGGCGAGGTTAAGCTAACTCGAGTTAACGCTAACTCGAGTTAAGGCCCCATGTAGACGCTTAACTCGAGTTAAGGTTCGTCGTGTAGACGTAGCTTATGACGAATAGATATGGACGTTCGACTGGATGATACTTTCAAGAGGGTAGTTGGGTCCGGAGACTATATCGGCGTTTATCCACAAGGGGGCGTGAAGGTCTTTGTCCATCTCCACCAGTACGTCCATGGCCGGATCTAGGGCTCCAATCAGCCTGAAATCGATCTTCATGCCTGCCATATAGCCCAACTACTAATTTCATGTATTCATTCACCCATTGTTTAGTTCGCTCATTCCTTCGTTTCGTTATTCGCAGATATAACACGTATACACCTACATATAGATACATACTGTAACAGAGAATTAAACCCAACATACCGGCTAGATGGAGATGTATACAGAGCTAGACAGATAAAAGCATTACCCTTGTCGGCGACTACCGTACGAAGCAGCCACTCCTCTAGCGTCAGGTTGCTATCGACAGCAGGCGAATGAGCCATGACGGGAATGAAGCTGCCTTCACGCAAGATGACGTCAGCTTCCAGCATCATCACAGCCTTGTCTGATCAGGAGTCAACATTCAAAACTCTTGTTCGCATGCATGTATATATTATATATATATATATATCAAGAGCTAATAATACTTAGCCTAATACCTACCTATAATAATAGGTATTATTAGGTCTTCATATATATATATATATATATATATATATATATCAAGAGCTAAAATCTAGCGCTAATACTACTATAATAAATAGGTATTATTAGCTCTCATATATAATATATATATTATATATATATATATATATACTATTATATTTGCCAATTTTGCATATATACCCTTCTAATCTGTAGACCTATTCTCCTTCCTCTTTACCACACTGTAGCAATTATAGACCCTCTCCGCTTCCTCTCTACCAACACTGCAGTTTATAGACCCCGCCCCCACTCACCTCTTCTTCCACCCATCTACGTTCCCAACCACCCAACCGTCCACGCCACCTTTTCTCATCCATCCTCTTTCTCAACACCCACCCTTCCCCAAGCACCCACCACCTCTCCCACTTCTTCCCTATGCACCCACCACCACTAACGCACCCTTCCCCCATGCACCCCACCGATTCTCGTTTCCAACACTCAACCCTCCCAAACCCTTCCCACCGCCCACCCTCCTTCCCAGCCACCCACCCTCTACCCTCTCATCCACACCATCCCCACTCTTGCTACACATAAGAGCTCCTAGCCGAGTAACGGGGTTTATACCTGAGAGACTGTCATTTAGTGCTGCAACGCTGTTGACACCATGAGCCCAGATTACGTTGATTCCATCTCCGCTACTGGATGGATATACATCAAGCACATCAGCGTCGGTGTTTGTAGCGCCTAAAACCAGCAACAGCCGAAAGTGGTGTGCTGTGTGTGTGTGTGTGTGTGCGCGCCGTGTGTAGTGTGGTGCAGCGTTGCGCCACGTGTGGATGTACGTGTACAAGGTCATGTTGTTGAATGTGGCACGTGTTGTGTGCAGGTGTACGATGCATTGTTGTCGCAGGTGTATGTCGCAGTTGATGTGTGTGTGCGCACCGTGTTTGTGTATGTGCGACCCGGTTGTATAATGTGTGTGCGCACGTGATTTATTGTCAGGTGCATGTGTGTGTGCGCACGTGTGTATAGTGCGTGCAGTTGATGTTGTGGTGTCGCAAGTTGTATGTGTTGTGTGCGCACCGTGTTTATGTGCAGGCTTGTATGTGTGTGTGCGCACCGGTGATTTAATGTGCAGGTTGCAATGCGATGTGTGTTGCGCGCACGTGTAATGTGTGTGCAGGTGCACTGTGTGTGGCGCACGTGTGATATATGCAGGTTGTATGTGTATGTGCAGGTTGTATGTGTGTGTGCGCACGTGTGTATGTGCAGGTTGCATGTGTGTGTGCGCGCGCACGTGTGTATGTGTGTGTGCCGTGCAGTTGTTTATGTGTGTATGTGCAGGTTGTATAGTGTGTGTGCGTACGTGTTTATGTGCAGGTTGTATGTGTGTGTGCGCACGAGTGTGTGGCTGTGTTAGTGAGCGCAGGTTGCTGTGTGTGCGCACGTGTGCTATGTGCAGGCTTGTATGTTGTGTTGCAGGTTTGCATGGTGTGTGCGCACGTGTGTATGTGCAGGTTGTATGTGTGTGTGGCGCACGTGATGTATGTGCGTGCAGGTGCCATGTGTGTGGACGCACGTGTTGTTGTGTGTACAGGTTGTATGTTGCATGGTGTTGTGCCGCACGTGTGTATGTGCAGGTTGCATGTGTGCGTGAGTACGTGTTTTTGTGCAGGTTGCATGGTGTGTGCGCACGTGTGTATGTGCCGTGCAGGTTGCAATTGTGTGTGTTGGCACGTGTGTATGTGTGATACAGGTTTGTATGTGCATGTGTGTAGGCCACGTGTGTATGTGCGTGGCAGGTTGATGTGTGGTGTGCGCACGTGTGTATGTGCAGGTTTGCATGCATGTGTGTGTGCGCACGTGTATGTCGTGTGTGCGGCAGGTTGTATGTGTTGTGTGCAGGTTGTTATGTGTGTGTGCGTACGTGTTTATGTGCAGTTGTATGTGTTATGTGCGTTGCAGGTTGCCAATGTGGTGTGGCGCACGTTGTTTATGTGCGAGGTTGCATGTGTGTGCAGGTTGGCATGTTGTGTGTGGCGCGGTGTTTAATCGTGTGTGCAGGTTGGCATGTCGTGTGTGCGCACGTGGTATGTGCAGGTTGTATGTGTTGTGGCAGTGGCAGGTTGCATGTGTGTCGTGCGCACGTGTTATGTGCAGGTTGTATGGTGTGTCTGTGCGCACGTTGGTAATGTGCAGGATTGTATGTGTGTGCTGCGTACGATGTTTATGTGCAGTGTTGCATGTAGTTGTGCGCAGCGTGTGTATCGTGTGTAGAAGGTTGGTATGTGCAATGTAGCGCGCGTGTTTATGTGCAGGTTGCATGTGTGTGATGTGCGCACGTGTGTATGTGCGTGCAGGTTGTATGTGTGTGTGGCACGGTGTTTATGTGCGGTTGGCATGTGTGTGTGCGCACGTGTGATGATGGCGTGCAGGTTGGCATGTGTGTGTGCGTCACGTGTTTATGTAGCAGGTTGCATTGTGTGTGCGCCGTGTTTTATGTGCGTGCAGGAGCCATGTGTACGTGCGCACGTGTGTATGTGCGTGCCAGGTTGTATGTGTGCCGGCAGGGCCTGTGTGTGTGGCGCACGTGTTTATGTGAGGATGTATGTGTGTGTGCGCACGTGTTTATGTGCAGTTGTATTGTGTTGTGTGCGCAGTTTATGTGCAGGTTGTATGTGTGTGTGCGCCACGTGTTTTACTGTGCGTGCAGGTGTATGTGTGTGCAGGTTGTATGCTGTGTGTGCGCACGTGTGTATTTTGTGCAGGTTGTATGTGTCGTGTGCGACGTGCTTAATGTGGCACGTTGCATGTGTGTGTGCGCAGCGTTTTAATGTGCAGGTTGTAATGTTGTGTGTTGCGTACGTGTTTATATGTGCAGGTTGTATGTGTGTGTGCGCACGTGTTTATGTGCGTGCCAGGCTTGCGATGTGTATGTGCAAGTTGTAGTGTTGTGTGTCGCACGTGTTTATGTGCAGGTTGCCATGTGTGTGTGTGTGCACGTGTGTATGTGCGTGCAGGAATTGTATGTTGTGTGCGCAGTGTGTATGTGCGAGGTTGTATGAGTGTGCGTGCAGGTATGCCATGTGCTGTGTGGCGCACGGTGTTATGCTGCGTGGCAGGTTGCATGTGTGTGTTGCGCACGTGTTTATGGCGTACAGGTCTGCATGTGTGTGTGCGCGGACGCTGTTTATGCTGCGCTGCAGGTTGCCATGGTGTGCGTGCGTACGTGTTAATGTGAGTGGATGTGTCTCCTACCGGTAGTGCAGTTGCATGTGTGGCGCAGTTAGTGTTATCGTTGCATGGTGTGCGTGTGTCGTGCGTCGGACTGTGTATGATGTGTGCAGGGTTGCTATGTGTGTGATGCGCACGTGTGTTGGTAGCAGTGTGTATGTGTCATTGTGCTGTGCGCACTGGTTAATGTCATGTGTTGCATGTGTTGTGCGCACTGTGTTATGTAGTGTAAGGTTAGTCATGTGATGTGTGTGTCGCACTGTGTTTACTGTGCCAGTTGCATGTGTGTGTGCGACGTGTTTTATTGCAGTTGCAGTGTTGGCGTCATGTGTTATGTGCGTCAGGTTATGTTGCGTGCAGTGTTCTGTGCATGTGCTTGTGTGTGTCGCCACCGTGTTTATGTCGTCGCAGTATGAATGTGTGTGTGCGACCTGAATGCCGCTCAGTTGTATGTGGCTGTGGCAGGTTTGCGAGGTTGCGCATGTGTGTGTGCGCACGTTGTTCTATGTGCAGGTTTGCATATGTGTGTCGGCGCACGTGTTTATGTGCAGGCGTTGCATGTGGGTGTGCGACGTGTGTATGTGCGTGCAGGTTGGCATGTGTGTGGCT